TAAAAAAAGACTCTAGCTAGTCTTAGTAATATTAATAACAATAATGTTATAACTAATAAAATAATTAACTTGACTAATAAATTTAACGATAACTTAATCTTCGCATGAATTCCCGGGCACTGCGGAATACCTGGTAATGAAAGAGCCGACTTACTTGCCAAGGAAAAAGCCAATAATCTACATCAACTAACTGTGTGGAATATTAAATCCGACAAAGATACTAAAAAAATTATATACAACCAAATCAAAAATATCTGGCAAAAAGAATGGCTTAAAATGAATAGTAAATTAAATGAGATAAAAAGAACTATCGAAAAATGGAATAACCCTATATCACTCAAAAGAAGAGAGGAAGTCGTACTAAATCGCCTCAGAATAGGTCATACGCATTACACACATGGTCACCTCATGAAAAAGGAGCCACCAAAAATATGCCTTACATGCGGAATTACATCTACAATCAAACATATTATCACCGAATGCAGAGACACAAAAGAGGCAAGACAAAAATTCAACATACCGGAACACCTTCACGACGCACTGGGCCCTGACGAAAAATCCATCCAAAACATAATTTTATTTTTGAAAGATACTGAACTGTACAATTTAATTTAAGTCATCATTAGATGTAAAAATAAGCCAATGGTCACGTTATCGAGGCTTTAAATATAAAAAAAAAAAAAAGACAACTGCAGCTTCGACAAGGAACCCCTGCAAAGGCCTCAGAAGCATTATTTTTAGGGGCCTCGTACTAAAAAAAAAAAAAACAAAGACATTGAAAAACTAATCAAAATATTATTTATTCAGTTTTATGTAATTTATCAATTTTAAAAACATTTTATAGAATGGAGGGATAAATGTATTGAATTATCTTCCAATGGTGTGTGTTTTATTTATTATTATTTTTTAGAGTTTCATCTTTTTTGAATAGTAAAAACGCTTTAAATTTTAACTTTGGGGTAGAAACTAAAGAAAATTTCACCAACTTTCGACAAAATCGATTTAGTTTTTTTTTTGTAACTTAAAAGTGAAAAATCGTAGGGACTTTTTCTGCTGAATATTCATATTAATATTTGTTAGATATAAAGTAATTATGAAATATTACCTATTTATTTTCTACAAACCTATTATTATTATTTATACCATTTTATGGAAAGTCGATATTGACTCGAAAGTTAATAACAATAGTATAATATTATATACATGTTTACTATTTTAATAATTAACTATTAATAATATAGTGTCATTAATATATATATATTAATAATATATGTCATTTGTTTTTGAAAAGAAATAATTCAATTTACCTTAATAACAATAAGTATAATATATCATTAAATAAATTTAATAATATATAGGATAACAAATCATCTTCGCTCGTAAGTCATAATTATTTTTCGTAAATGATTTATCATTAAATTAAAAATTAACACATGTATTACAGTGACTTATTCAATGACGAGATGATACACTTGTCACCTACTAAGAACGATTAGACAATTATAGGTTATCCATTTTACCTTTTTTATTTCATTATTAATAAAATATAGTAATTAGTTTATTATAAAAATTCATTTATTGTTGGTATAAAACTAAAATATTATTAAGTGCATACAAATGATATCATAAAAATAAAACCATTAAATTAATTTTATTCCTCGGCTATTCTTTGTATGAGAGCATTAAGACAAATTTTTTTTAAGCATTTGCTATTTTTTCAATCAATTTTTAAAGAAGGGTCAATGATCACCTCTTTTTCTACAGTTATTAAGCAAATAATTTTAGACAATCTTTTATACTCAATAAAAGTATTCATAGTTTCAAACAAATACGTCTTGTTTTGAAAAGTATTTAAAATACGTACTTCAGCAGTGAGCACTCGCTAAAATAAATATTTTTGAGTGTAAATTGCATACAGGTTCTTAATTACATACACTTTAGAATATTAGATTACACAAATTTAGATTTACAAATGCCTGGTTTTAATTGTTAAACCTTCATATTTGAAGTACGTTCAGCACTCGCTGACAAAAAAAAAAAAAAAACAATCATAATATCATGTATTAAATACTGTCATGAGTTCCGGGTTGTAACTTATAGATATGGAGTGGATAGGGAATATTGAGTTTCAATTTTAAAAATGTAAGGTGTTTGTGATAGATACACTCCATTTAATTTGTTGGTAGGTAAAACTCTACACAATCGTATTCATATTTTTAAATTTATTCCAATAGGTACTTATAATATATAGGTATTTACAATATTAATAATCTAAATAATAAAATATTTAATGATATCATAATAAACAGTAATAAAATAAAACTTTTTTCTCAAGTAGTTGACTAAAAATTGCTGTTAAATATATAAAAATAAATATATAGTATAGATTGATACCGTAAGATTTAAAAAAATAAGTATTTCTTTCCAGAAAAATATTATTTATTTTTGCTTTTTATTTTATCAGATCATTTTCATTATTTACGCGATGAATTAAAATCTATTAATAAAAAAAAAGTAATGTTAAAGACAAAATTAAAAAACCTCGATTTAGTAAAACTTGTGAACAGACTTATTATTCGAGACTCGAGTGCTTACAATACGTACAAAATAAATATAAGATGACACATGTGTCTAGTTGTCTAGAATATATATACATGTTACATTTATATATATTATAATAGTAAAATATAAACACTACAGTAATGGTGTACTAATGGCGTATTTTACAGGAATTTCAATGCAAAACTATTAATTACTTAAATCATTGAAGTTTGTTTATTTATTTTTGTTAATGTTCTTATTTTTCACGTTTCGTATTATTTGAATTTCCAAAAAAAAAGCCGTTATATGGTGGGTACATTACTTCTGGGAATAATTTGTACAGTGTTTCAAGAATACAATTTATCGTACATCGTCTTCGTATAAAGGTAGAGTACATGACAGCCATTGGTTGTACAAATCCATCGATAATCGTTTCCTTGCTGCAATGGTTTGTCGTTGTTATCGGATGTTCTTGATCGACGCTTAGATTTACATTCAGTGTTTTGTTTTTTGTTATATTTATCATTATATTATTATCATTTTGGGTCGGATTTATGCTTTCTTTGTAGCATATTCGATGGCAATAGTCATCACAGTCCATACATTTATAAACCGATTTAAATATATTTATTTTACTGCAGTAAATACATTTATGAAATCCGTAAATATTAGTTTTTTTGAAATTATGTTCTTGGTTCATTTTTTAAAATTTTATATCATAATATTTATGACTAATAAAGATATTCATTAATGAAACTTTAAATAAATATAGCGCGTTAACGTTGCTATAGTGTGATTATTTCAAACAAAATTTGATAACTTATGTTTATATTTGATCATTTTGTTGATTTCAGCCAAAATAAAAAAAAAATAAAAAATAATTTTGATAAAACTGTTTGTATTCACAGCTGTCAAACGGATGTATTTGCCATGACTATAAAAATATCTATCTAAAACGTATTATTGCTAAACTGTTCAATTTTGAGTTTCATATCATACATTAAAATCTGCCTCCATTGAACTGGCTTCCAAACTATTAAGGTATAAATACTATTAGGTAAAATGCCTCATCGAACATTGAATTGGCATTAAAATGATAATATAAACATTTGGTTAAAATTTTAAGTTTTTATGATAATTTATTTTTTTAAGTTACATCAAAAAAACAAGATTGATTTTTTTCAAAAATTGGATTTGCGTGAAAATTCTTGTTTTCTTAATTTTTTGTTTGTTTTTCTCAATTATAAATATATGTAGTGGTACAAACAAAATTAATTTTAGTATCCAAAAGATCAAAACCATCTCCATCTTTGAAAATTAAGGAATTTTATCAAAAGCTTATCGTGTATTCATAATCAAAAAAAAAAAAAAAAAAACACTATTATATTAATTACAAAAATTAATACGATCAGAATCTAAAATAGTAAGGAACGATTTGTGTTTTATTTTCAAAAACGTGAAGATGTAATACATATTATTTATATTCAGAGATTAAATTGAAAATGAGAAGTTTTTCCATTCATTCATAAGTAGGTATATTTCCTTTGTATTTTTTAATTGAAGTTTACTATATTTTTTTACGAAGCCAAATAATGAGTTATTTACCAACTTAATTGTATATTTTTCAAACCATACTTTTTTTTTTTTTTACCTACTTATTACATTTATTCGCTATCTTAAAAAACGCACCATTTCAATACTAATTTAACTTATTTTTATAGTAGATATATACATTTAAATAATTATAGCTGGGAGGCATTTTGGAATTATTAATAATATGTATTCGTTTATAAGATATTTAAAAAAAGAAAAATTGTTGGATACATCTTAAGATGTACCTATAGTAAGTTACAGAACAAGTGTGGATTTTGATATCGTGATTACGGTTAATAGTGATTACTTTATTATTTATTTTCTATATACTGTATATTTCACCTTTTTTTTTATTAAACATTTAAGTTTTATTTTTTGTTTTAAGCAGGGATTATACTTTATATTCATTATAATACTTAAGACCTTGTTGTAAAAAGGTTGAAAATCATTGTTTTTTTTTTTAACATACAGATATATATGTATTATATGAAATCTAATAAAATGAAAATGATATTTGCATTTGGGTATTTACTTATTTATGACTTACTAGACATGAAAAGATTCAGATCTTAAAAAATGAAATGTTTTATTTTAATTAATAATAATAAAAATAGATAAATATATAATAATAATGAATAATAAAATTAAAATAGTTATATAAAACTGAAGATACAAATTAATAATAATAATATTACATGGTTTGTATTATTATATAAATAGATATAATACTAACATTCATAAAATTAATGTTTATTAGAAAATAATTCAATAATACATTTTTCAAAAAAAAAAAAAAAACCAGACCATCAATTTTGGAAAAATATATAATATATATATATAAAATATATATATATAATATTGTACACACATGATTAATAAAAATAGTAATTATTTATAATTATTACTAAAGTTCATAGAAAGCTCTTAGATAGTGCTGTGTTAACATCTTACACAACATTTATTTATACAATTGGTAAGTTTAAGGAGTCCTTTGTTTTATTTTTATTATTATTGGGAATAATTTATTCATGTGGTTATGCATAACATGATTTACACGGAAACAAATAAATTATTTTAAATATTTTCTGATTGGAGAACAGCAATAACTGCCAATAACACATTGGCGTTTAAAAAAATATATTAACGGTGCTTTTAAAAATTTTATTAAGTACTTAAATTTATATTTTAGTATTGAAAGACGCTTTAATTATTATACCTTAAAACATATATAAATTATGTTCGAATTTTTACCCCTATTTCCCATTAAAATCAAAACATACCTAAAAAATTATAACAATTTTGATTTATAAATGTGGGGAATGGGCGATTGTTTGCCCCATCAAATATATAATTTGATCAAATTTTGACATTAACCGTATTTATTATCATTTAGTATTTATATGCAGCGTACCTATTTTATCGATCATATTATACTGTTGAATGGCTGTACATTGTTAAATGTATAGCATAGTATGACAAATATCAATTTATTTTACATTTTAGCGTATACCTAGGCATAGTATGAGCAGGTATTGTCCATTAGGTATTATACAGGTATCTAAACAATTTAAAATTTTAGTTATATAAAAGTATATATAATTTGATTTAAATTTCTAATAGTTTTGATAAAGGTATTATATTATATAATTAGAATTACTGTTATTATTAGTCATTAAATGCTATTATACTCTTACATCGACCTTATATAACTTATTCTTCCATATTCACCATCTGATCAATCGTACCGATGGTTTTTTCTTTTACAGGCAACGTGATTCGAATGTTGTATGCGAGTTTTTTGCCACGTATGAAACTGTAGCTGTTGTCAAATACAACTGTATCTGTTTGAAAAAAATTGCTTTCAATTAGGTACACATTATGCTAATGAGTTCGATACATACATTCAGTGCGATTATTATCTGCATAAATATTAAATGCAAATTATTTATTATTTTATAATATTTTTATTTATAAATATAGAATATTTAAAGATTTAACTATAATCTGTTATTAATGAAAACTAACTATTCACTCAATATTTGATATTTATGCACACAATTGTCAAAAAAGTAGTTATTTCAGATTAATACAAATCGAGAATAACGGTTCCCATTTAAAAACTAAAAGTTTATAGTAATTAAAAAAAAAAATAAAACTCGAATAAAATTATATTAGAATTACATGTCTTTAATTTTCAAAAAAAAAAAAAAAAAACTTTAAAAATTATCTTTGAAATAATGAGTGCTCGATATTATCAAATTATGATCATTAACCATTCTTATAATTGATATATATATATATATATATATATATATCATAAAAATTTTTAATATTTGTGAAAATAATTGATGTATAATTATTTATATTACATTTTTATGAATATTATTATTTTATTATTATTATTATTATTTATCTAGTTCAAAAAATAGTTATTAAGATTTCTAATTGTATCTAAAAATTAAATATTTTTAAACAATATAACTCTTAGACCTCTACATGAGTATCCACCCAGTGAGCCTTAGTAATCATTTTGTTATGATAACAGTAAAAATAAAAAAATAAAATATTATAATATAGATAGATAATGAAAAAAACCAAATTACATTCTCCTGGATGCTTGCATTTGATGACTCCAATCTCTTCAAACTCGTGGCATGCTACTTTCTTTATTGGCATTATTATTGTTTGAATATTTTCTGAATCTGTTGCTAATATACCAAATTTGATATCATGTCCCTCTGTTTTGAACTGCCATCTTATGTAAAACAGTTACACATTAAACATTTATAAAAAAAAATTAATTCTTTTATTTCTGTGTATTTTAGATTTTGAGCGGAATGATAATGTATTGATTTTACAATGTTGTTTGTATGTGTTTTATTTTTATTATTAGTGTATCATCACCTTTCAGAATAATAAAAATGCTAGTGGGGTCTTAAGAATAAATTAAGGAAAAATGGGAAATTTGTATGCTTAGTTAGTTTTCGTCGTTTTCGATAATATCGATTTATTTTTTATTTTTTTGTTATGATTACAAAACAAATAACTGTGGAAACTCAAATATTTTGATGTTTTTTGAGATATTTAAGAATAATAGAAATTTTCGATTTTTTTTTTCTATAAATATCGACAATTTTGTTACAAAATGTGTTTTCGAATATTTAGTAAAAGGTTCCTTATAAATTGTTAATGATGGAATTAAGAGAAAAAATTGACCGTTAATCAAAATTAACTGTTATAAGCCTTTGAAATAAGAATTAAAATAAATTTCGTCAAAATTGAGACAATTATCAAATTATTTTATAGTTAAAAATTTTAGTATTAGTTAAGATTTTTAAATTTAATACAAAGTACAAAAAAAAAAAAAAAAAATAATAAACATAACATATTAAGCACAATTATTAATATTGTCATTTGAAGTTCAAATTTAGATGAATATATTTATATTTAATGATGTAAGTTATTGTCATAATTCAAAAATATGATTTATCTTATTTCATTGTAATTTAAAACTTTTATGTGTATTATGAATTTCAGTATGCCTAATAACATTTTCAAGATATGTAAATTAATGTTATACAATTACCTTTTTATACCATGAACTTATTTACATAGTATTACAGTAAAGTGGTACTGATTTAAAAATTACTAATACGAGTAGTAATGTACGAGTATTATGGTTTAATAAATATTATTATAATTAAATACTTATATTAGAATATAATATGCAATTTTTCAGAAAAAATTAAATTAACCTTTCGTAATAATATTAAATTTAATTACTTTAATAGTAATGTCATAACACTCATAACCATATTATCATAAAATAAAGTGATAATATAAGCTGTTAGACTGTCTCTATTCAGTTATTTTTTGTTAACAATAATGTAAAAAATTAAAAATAAAAATTTAAAATTTAAATTTAATACATCCATTATTATGTAACCAATTTAATATCTACTATACAGTCAAGCGGCACCTATTTCACTCATTTGCTTACCTTTATTTTTTTTTAGATTTGACTAAAATCTATTTTTAAATGTAAATTGTAAATCATTATTTTATAAAATATGTATTATTATAATTTATAATTTTATATCTAATCATTGATAAATGAGTACCTTTTTTTTTCAACTTTTTTATTTTACAAATTTGCCATTAAAATCATTAAACATTAATATTATTAAATTCATATTTAATTATAAAATTTACCTCAGAAAACTTTGTGGTACAGTAACTGTATATTTTAGGTATAGTTTATCGCCTTTTTTAATATTTACTAGTACCATATCATCAGAATTTGTAAGTCTTTTGTCATTTTTTGAATATAATTCTTTTGGCACTTTTCCTCCTTGATTTATCTATAGTAATAAAAAAATACATTGCGATTAACAAAAAAAAAAAAAAAATAATAATAATAATAAAATGTTCATACAATAGTACAATGTATGTTAATTTCGATAATCGATATGTTATTGTTAAATATTAACCTATGCTTGACTCGTAATATAATAATATTTTATTTCTTAATGTTGATAGTTGATATTGTACAGACTAAATTCATAAATTATAATTGAATTTATAAATTTTCGGACTGAAATGAAAATAAGTCATCTTTATAAAATAGGTATTATGCGAGTTTATTAACAAAGCAAAAAGAAATGGATAAAGTTTATTTTAGAAATTAAACTTAAAAAATTGCCATTGCTGAGTCGGTGTCAATGGACCGTCGTCCATTCATCATACAAATAAACGATACGAACGCCATGTGTAGTATATTTATCTATAAATATTTAAAACTTTGTTCTGAGTTCTGACTAATAGAGAATTAACATAGCACCTAAACTATATAATGTGTTAGACTTGGAATTTAACAACACTTTTGTTTTATAATTTAGAAAGGATTTTTCAAAAATGCATTCTAACGTATTTTAAAAGGTGGCACTTACACAGTAAATTTTTTAGTTTTTTTTTTGTTTTTTGTTTGTATAGGGTTACCATTGGTTACAGAAAATAAAATAGTTATTTTAATCGGATACATTTTAGAACCGTACATTATATTTGGTCAAAATCGCTCGACACATATTTGTAGTATATTATACAGCTATCATTGCGTTTTGTTTTATTTGATTATTGTTTGATATTAAATAGATTATCTACATAAATTACAATTTTGTGTGTGATCATATACTAATTGAACTGTATCTAAGTAATAAGTAATAACTAACAACAATAGTACCTATAATTTCCGAGAAAGCATAATATGTTCACAATAACGGCGGGTATCGATCGACAGGCGATCGTTTTTTGTGCAATAGGTACTACCTACGATGTTCGTATTTTTAACGAGTTACTTGCAAATATTTGACGTCATTAGTAATAAATGTAAAAGAATCAAACAACCACAAAGGTGAACACAACATCACGCATTATACAGTATATTATACGGTCATATATAATGTGACAGATGTACTTTAATACGTTAATATTATGATCTGTTTGGATGACGCGCAAGTCAGATACCTAAGATGTTAGATGACTCCTTATGATCACGTTTTAAACTATTATTGCTTATTATTTTGTTTTTTTTTTTTTTTTTAAGGAGATGTTCATTAAAGATGATATTATATTTATTACACGTTTCCGTGGTGTGCTATGCAAACCGAGTGAAGGTAACTGGAAACAAAAAATTAGATAATCATTTTTTACACCCATGAGCCTTGAAATATTTCATTTTGATGGTGCGCGATACAACCATGCAAGTCAAACGCTAAACCAAAATTCAATATATTATGTTTTTTCAAATAGTTTATCTATTTTTTTATTTGAAAAAAAAAATTATTTAGACGTGTTTTGACTAACTTTGGTGATGTATCTGGGGTCACCATCGGGATCCCTCAGATCGCCTCCAAAAAACGCTGGGTACTGGTCGCTATCGATGGTTTTTGCCAATGCAGGCTTCCACTTACTCGGGTCCGCTTTGTAAATTATGAACTTGTTCATTGTGTTACCTGTGAGTATATTTTTAAGTATGTTGAATGCAAAACTGAACACTTTGGGAGCTGAAAACCGTGAAATAAATAATATTATAACATAATATACCTATGTGCATATTATATAAATATTTGTCACGGAAGTGATCCGTGATTAGAAAAATGATACACATAAAATATACACACCATTAATCGCGTAACATGCTTTCAATATTTCTGGGTAATTGGCTTCGTACATTTGCAACAAGTTGATTATCATCTCGGCCGCTATAAATTATAAAAATAAACACTCAATGTCACATTGTCGTTATTAATATTTCTAAGCAGTCCCATAAGAATATATGTACAATATAATTAGTTGTGTATCTTAACGCGGTGACATAATTATCATCGAGAGATCAATCTTAGGGTAGAATTTGAATGACTCAACACGTGGAGAAACAAATCAGAATAATATATTATGAAGATGACTTATGTATATGTTATACAACGTAATTTGCCGACCCTCACATAATTTATTATTGTCCTGGACGAACTATAGACGAACAGGTATCGATCATTAATAGCTCCTGTTCGACACTTAATTAATATAGTTATCTAAAAAATTATCGTGACGATTGAAAATTATTTCAATACGTGGACATGTAGTGCTTAATGAGTCAGTTTTTAGTTATGATTATTAAAAAAATACATGTATAAATATAGTTTTGCACGTTTGAAATTCTTATAAAATATCCAATTCATCAAGAGTAAAGCAAAACTACGAAAACAACATGGTCATAAATCGTAGTCATACTCGTGAAAATTATAACTTTTAATTAATTGTTATATTGTTGTTTAAATAAAGTGACTTGTACAATTACTTTGTAATTAAAGTAGTATAATGGTGTCTAAAATGAAGTATAGTTTAATACATAAATAATAAACACTATGATAATATTTCAAGTTACAACCATAATATAAAAACAGTGTAGTATTATCTAAAAGACACGGGAATGACATACCTATCATAATACTATTTAAGACAATTATAATATAATTAGTAATTTATTTGGGAAGGAAGAGGCATTAATTTTATCATTATACTAATTTAAAATAACAAAATACATGTTAATAGTCAACTTTGTGACTTAACATAAAAATAATACCCTTCAAAATTTGCTATATTGCTAAGATATATTAATATTTTTATAATATTACTATATGATTAAAAATTATCTTAATGTTTGTCATAGGTATTTAATATTTCAAATTCCAATGAGTACCCAAACCCAATCAAGAGCTAACTGTGTCTATTATATTTCAATAATATATTCAAGCGTTAAATTATCGTCATATCGAAAAGTCAATAATTTGATTTAAAATAAATTTGTTTTTGGAAAAATATCTAATATTTTACACTTATTTTAAAATATATCTTTTTAATTTTTTAATTTAATGGAGTATAATTTTATTAAAATTTAGATATAAAATATTTTAATATTTTAATATATATATATATATATATACGTATTTTTATAAAGTTTAAGTCAAATTTTAAACGATAATATCAATGACTATGATTGAATATTAACTATGCAATATAAAATTATAAGTACTGGTAAAGGGTCCGCATAATAATTTACCTGGTTTCCAAGTGAATTGTCTCAGGTTAAAGTCGGTCAAGTCGACTATGCAGTACACCTGTGATGCTTTTGGACCGTGTGTGAGTGACGATTGCCTAGCCACTTCTATGTATGAGTCAAGCTTTTGTGCTAAGAATCTGACCATGTCTTTCGGTGGGGCTGACTTGAGCAGACCACACAAGTCGAACCCGGCAAATGGAACAATAATAACGGGCGATCCTTCCTTGTCAAAGCCGCTAATACCGCTCGGCATGTAGTCGACCAGCACTTGGGGTGGTTGCCAGCCATCGTCCTTGTTAATCGACCACTCTTCTCGCCATTTCATTGACTAAAATTTAATATAATTTAAAGTATACATTATACAATTAAGTAAAATATTTATTTTTTTAAATGTAGAAAAAATGTATTCAAATTATACAAATGCAAAGTATCCGGAATATGATTACGTATTCAGATAACAAAATAATTGTTCAATAATAGTATTCATACAATATTTGTGATATTATACAGATACAGTAATTATATAGTTATACCAGGTGTTAAATAAGTTTGGAAATTCTTAATTGCTGTATGCCTATTTTAATATTTACATGGAGCAATAGGAGATAACGCTGCTGTACATTAATAATTTAAAATAGTTAATAATTTCATTAATTATATCATTTTATCGTTTATCAGTCTCAATTAGCCTAATTACTTTTAAATATACCTGAATAGTTGGTCTTTCAGAATAATATTTTCGAATGGTTTATTATATTAAAATTACTCACTGTTCTCAACATATCTTCTGCTTCTTTTGGATCGAAGTTTCGAGCTATAAAATATGAAATCAAATAAATGAAAACTCAAACATATTTAATATTCATTAAACATAAATTTAATAATCAATTAAACTGTAAAATATTTAATTGGATAAGTAAAGTATTTTTAATATTATTTATATAACATAAATTATTCATGATAAATTAATAACTAAAAAATACTAACAATTTGTGAAATCAAAAAAATGTCTGATGTTTGACATTATACGTATTATATGCTTATATACTAACTGTTAGTACAGCGTTGCCCGTAACAAATTAATAATACCAGTGGATTTTCCCCGTCTTAAATGTAAACTATATATAATACTTTAATTTGAGTGATTTTGACTAAATTAATTATAGATTTAAAACTATATCTAATTATAATAACTATTTTATCTTTTTTATTTTTATTAGTCAGAGGGGGCAACTATATAAAATAAAGAAAAAATTAATTTCTGTTTGCGGAAATAAATCTCTGTGTGAGCTCAAATTTAAAATGAGAATTAAAAAAAAAATACTTTCTTTCAAATCTAGAACATTTGAGGATGATTACTTAAAATTTAAAATTATACGTTTTATTATTTTAGAGAAATAGCGATCAATTAGTGAATGAGTGGTATTTGGGCATATATATGTATAATATATATTTAGATAGGTAGATAGATTATTTTTAAAATATTATTAATTATTAAATAAAAAAGTATCAAAGTCAAACTTTGACTACCGATTTTGATATATATTTGTAAAATTAATTGATGTTTACAATATTTATTGGATTACGTACTTTGGTCTTTGGGTACCTCTATATGCTATACAGCTATATACTTTGTGGTATTTTGTGATTTATACGTAATTAATATCTATATATCTATCTATTAACATTTTGCTATATTATTTTGTTGATTATTATAAGAAGTGGGTCAGTATACTATTGCTGTGATATTTGGTCGTCCTACAGATATTAGTTTATAAGAAAAGTATAATTTATGCGCTTTAATTCTGATATAGTGGTGCTTAAATTTACCGATTACATTGTTTAGTATATTGATTAGACACACTTATTTTTAATAGAAAGTCACGTTACCCCGACATCTGAACGATTTAATTAAACATTGCAACAGGAAATATGAAAGGTTACGCGGAGGTAAGCTATGTTACTAAAAATGTCGTTTACACTATTGTTTTGCTTTGTTCGTGAAATAATTATTTTAAATATATGTAGGTATAGATAAAACAGATTTGTTTAGTGTACTATGTATATTATAGTTCATACTAGTATTATTATATATATATAAATAGAAATAGAAAATTTCGATAGGTATAACTGATTTAAGATTATAATGGTCAATTTTTAATGAGCCTAGAGCCCTGGATGATGTGACACATATTTGTAGTTAGTAGTTACATATTTACATATAAACTATAAATAGTTATTTATCATCTTAACCATTCTTGATAATGCGCGACGTGGATTACTTTAAATTAATAAAGAGTTTTTAAAAATTTTTTGAAAAACAAATTTTCCCTCCTTTTAAATTATTGCACGCATTATTACGTGAAAAATTGATACTTGTTGTTTTAAAATCAACGAACTTATCGGCGTATAATAAACTATGTATAGTTCATTTCAAAAAAACGTAAAACTTATTGATTTTAAAATCGGCCTGTTCACTATTTTGATTGTATATAATATAAAGTACTAAACTAATAAAATGTATGCTTTTGTAAAGTTTTTGAAAGGTAAAATTATTATACCTTCGAGCCATCTGAGTAAAAAACAATCGTCGTATTTTTCATCCAATTTTAAGTCAGCAACGCTTCTTCGTAACTGAAACATCACAATGCAATATTAATGTTACCAAATAATATTGTATTTATTTATTATAGTTAATAATTAATGGTTTGATCGTTGTAAATATTCCATAGAATATATTATTTTATATTATAAAATATAATATACAGGTATATATAGGTGTTGAGTGTATGCAATCTATCTGCTGCAGCATGCAAATTTAATCTACTTATAGTTTTTTTAAGCTATATTTTTATGAAATGACATGAATGATTTTATTTTTTTACCTGCAATTTATGGATTTATTTTACATTTCTTATTATTCATTAATCTGTTAGTATTATTTTTAATGAATTACACTTAAATATACGAGTATAGTGCTAAATATATATAATTTATACACAAACAATAATATTTCAAGGGTAGTTAGTATATAAGTATATAATAATCAATATAAATAACAAATAAAAGTAATAATATATAAGAAAAAATTATTTTCGTTTAAAATTTAATTTTGAAAATAGAAATAAGTAGAAAGCGTTTTAAACCTTTAAAAGTTACGCAAAGCGTATACGCTTTTGATTATACTTAATGATAAAAAATAATAACTGCGAAAATTTAATATTATACACAGTAAATAACGTTCAACTCCTAAAATGAAATCAAATAAATAAATATATAATATCTAATGAATATATTTTATTAATGGTACATAGCCAAATTTAATTTTTGTTTTATAATACATAATATATATATCTTTATTTTCGGACCTTTCGTTTTATCGGTTTGTTTGGATAATGTACTTAAATATTTTGGTGTACAAGTGAGCCTATTATTATAAAAATCTATTAAAAAAATTATACATTTTACTATTTAATGAAAATTTCTAAAATTTACAAAATTGTCTTTTATTATTGTTATTTTTTGATCTTAGTTTTACAAAATACATCGTTAACAAATACAAATTTACATTTATTTAATTATACAAATTACTTAGTTATCAGTTAAGAAATACTATGGTGTATTGAGAAAATTAGCAAGTTGTTATGATTGTATACTCTCAACAGTCTAAATTTATAATATACAATTTAATCTACTCTGCAAGTTAATATGTCGATTAAAATTTTTTTAAATCGATGGTCCATTGCCCAAAACGTTTTTATTTAATTTATTATTAATTTAAAATATTGTAAGCGATTGTTAATTACGAATCATACAGAGGCCGTATAGAAATGTTTACAAGTTAAGATATATTTGTGTACTTTACTTTTATTTATTTTAATTTTAAGCCAATTATGCTAAACGTTATTGTTCGTATTCTTAAAAATATATTTAACTGATTAATGGGTAATTTTTTTAAAGATAATTTATAAAATAGGTACCTATTTATTTAAACCAAATCCAGGTTAAATAACTATATCGACAACATTAAAAACTAATCTCTACAATAATGACTGTCTATGAATTGAAATCAAACAATTATTAAATATTAGGACACATGTATATATTAATATTTTGTATTTTATTATACCAGCTATTACCTACTATATTATATTGTTACATAAGTACAGAATGCGTGCACGATATAGAATTTGTTAATAATTTAAAAAAGAACACATTTGTTTTCACCTTCTATACTTCTAGAGACGGCGTACGCGCGCGTCAGTTACATACATTTATTATACTAAGTCAATGCTTATAATGTTCGTTGGTGGTTAGTAATGTTTATAAAAAGTAAAAACGTACGCAATGCGATAACACAAGCAGTGACGAATATGTATGTGTGTGTGTGCGCGTGTACCTATAGCAGTTCCCGTTGGTTACCTCTGCCGCAGTTGCAAACGCGTGGACCAACTTAGGCGGTGAAAGTTACAAGGATTGTTTTTTTTTTAAAAGACGAGACTTGTTACACAATCGACAACGTCGTAAATCATTCTCGAAAATCATTCGGCGATTTAGGTCCTCGCCCCTCCAGCATCGCACACATATACATCACACGTCTTCTAATAGATATGTAGTTTATACTATTATGTGGTGTACCTTAAACGTGCACAAACATACACTAAGTTACGGCGATACTGAGTTTATAATAATAATAAAGTATAATTACTCAATTTCGTATTGAAATCTTATAAGTTGTAATATTGACGTGTGCCATAACGAAAATATAAGAAAAAAGTTAAATGACCTTGACCCGTTCATCGGTAGAGGTGTAAGTACTATGTTGACAAAAGATTGAACGACTTTGACCAACTCAATGAATAAGATTTGCAATTTTGCACAACGGGAATGCATAAGTCCATTAGGCATGACAAACAATTTTTATCAAACTAACAAATCCTCTAACAAATATTTATTATAGATGATTGGATTTTTTTTTTAGCGACATTATATTTATGTCTTGATTCGAGTTAGTAAAATATCCATTTAAATATTTTGCAATATAAAATTGAAAAATGCACGCAACGCATGGATTACGATAATATTATTTGATAACAGTTATGATAAACTATACTAAGGATTTTATGTACAAATAGATGCAACTATTTACTATTTAAGTAATAATAATTAATTTAAACTTTAAGCAGAGTATTTAATAAACAGCCTTAACGTTTGAACTACCTTTAGTAAATGAGAAAATAATATTTAAAATATATTATATAAATACGAAATACTTGGTTTGAATTGTGCCGAGAAAATTTTAAAACACTTGAAACATTTAATGAATATACTTTAAAGAAAGTTAAATTCAATTGGATTTCGATGATATAAATACAGTTAAACCATGAGTTGTTTTTGTGAATAAAAATTCGTGAGCTCTTGATAGGATGTTGAAATAACCACTGCGTGTTAATGACTTATAAGATAATAACAGATGTCTAGTAGATATCTTGATCTTCTTCTAAATAAGCAAAAAAAATATAGTATGTTCAGAACATATTATATACCTACTTTCTTTCTATTGTTAAATTGAACAAAAAAATAATTAAATGAGTTATATAAATTGTATACAAATTATTCGACGAAAATTACATATGTATATATTATGTATCATAATTAATAATGATATCTCTGTAATACGTAAAAATTGTATGGAATTTCCATTTTTTTGTATAGTTTATTTTTAACTGGAAATTCATTATAATAATATATGTTAATGAAATTAATAAAAACGTAAAAATGTCTGATGATCGACAATACTAAATAATAATTTCATTTGAACTTCTCGAAATACAATATTCAGTATTACGTTATAATATATTCAAAAACAATATTATCAAAGTTGTTACATATTATATTTTTTATAATAAAAAAACAAAAATATGGTACTTATTATTCATAATAAAACTATTACCTACATATGTATTATTATTATTATTATTATTTTATTCGTTATTTAAATCTCTTTATTTTCATATAAAAAAAAAAAAAAATTACAGCAATGATTTGTCATCATGAGATGGGATTAACATTAAACAAACTACTGATTCATGTTTGATATAATAAAACCAACATTTTGATTTTCTAATTATTATTAATTATTATTTGTTATTCTGAAGAGTGTGTGTTTTTTACTGTAATTACCGTTGCAAAAAGTACAGTATTAAGCAAGAAAATAAATAATTTTCCGATAAAGTTTGTTTTGAAAAAAAATCATACCAAGAAAAGATTTCTAAAAAAACAACTAATAATGACTATAAACGAAATTTTTATCAAGCATTTGAATTTTGAATGTTAAATGGTGACGTTGATAAATAAAAATATGCAATATGATTTCAATATTTACTCAAAATATTATAATTTAAATTTTTGGACTTCATAAACTAATTAATCGAAATTTTTATTATGCCGGAAATAATAATAATTTGTTGTATTCCACCATTCCATATTACAATATTTTACTTACTAAAAATTAAGACGTTCGAACTGTCGAGAGTAATTCTTTATACTACGTATAAAAAGGTACAAAAAAATTACACATATACAAACAATATTTACCTTGGATTAAAAATAAACAAACTAAATGATCTAATTTCTGTAATCTAAAAAACATTGTAATTGCTTAAATTTAATTTAAATTTACTGATTATTTTTGAACACGGCTTTCTGAATAGGCAATTTTCTTACACGTAGGGTATAATAAATAACTATAATATTATTGTTATTACTTATTACTATTATTTGTAACAGAGATAATCATTTATTTATGTAATCGTAGATTAACATTAAATCAAAACTTTATGAATTAAACTGGAGTAGCGCAGTAATTTAATGTATGTATAATATTGTAATACATTTTTTTTTTTTTTTGAATCCATAATTGACTAAAATTCATCTAAAACGATAAAAATAATATGTAATACAATCGACAAAATTGTAGAGTCTATTTAATGATAGTTAATCATAAATGCATATAAATTAAAAAAAAAAAAAAAAAAACATGAATGACGAGATTACGAAAACAATTAATATTACAGCTGGCATACTTTTCATCAATAATGGTTACAAGTGTACCTTCTATATGTTTCACGATTTTGAAATATGTTTTTCTCATTTATGTGAGATGGTAATTTAACTTCACGACGCGGAACCGCAAAGTATATAAATTAATAATTATGTACAAAAATAAGGTCGAAATTACTCATCCGGAGGTTCTATAGTGATGTAAATTTTATATTTTTCTTGAAGCCCTCTAAGGATTACCGTACAAACTCGAACAAAACGGTGGCCTCAGTTTGTTATTTTTTTTCGAAAATCGTATTACGCGTAGCCGTGTGACAAGTCAACGTTTAAAAAGGTACGACTAAATAGAAATAGTTCTAGAAGGCTAGGCCTTTTCGCTCAAAGTTGAGTTTTTAGTTTTCAATTATAATATTATGTACTACGCGACTTGTGTGGTTTTTATGTTTTTATATTAATTGAGACCGTTACCGCAAAACAAGTCCGTCTTGACTTTTTACCTAATATTTTTAATTATTATAGTGTCGGTTCACGTTCCGCAATCATTATGAGTTATTGTGTAGTCATTATTGTAATTCAAAAAAAAAAACAAAAAAAAAGAAGTTAAAATAAAGTTATTATATTATCGTACCGCGAACGCAAGCCGTAAGGCGGCAGTCACGGACTTTTCGTTTTTCGGTTTGCGGTTCGCTAAACCACTCCGTGGCAGATCGACCGTTTTGTTAACAGAGAGTGTGCTGCAGTTGCAGCCACCTCCGCAGCCGTCGTTGTCCGCGTCGTCATCATTAGTGTCAAGAAAAACGAAACCAGACGCACCGCAACGACTGTATATGCGCGCGTGCGCGCTAATTAAAACGGCTCCGGTTATGAAACTTGTATGAACATTCACAGGTCACAACATTTACAATTTATTATTATGATATTATGTACGTATCTATACGATAAAATAATAATAATAATATAATAAACGCCGATGGTAGGTACGCATTAAAGGTTTAAAACTTTTACCAAAGACCACCAGCTATAATTTAGTGGGTTAAAAACGATATCGTACAAATGGTATATACTGAGTATTATATAGTATTCTTATTTGTAAATCATTATACGTCGAAAAGGTATTAATATAATTTTAAACAAGAAAAGATGATTAAAATTAAAAAATGTATTTCTAGTTTATACAATTTTTGATTTTTATAATATTGTATCTACTCGTATTATAAATACTACGGTTTTGGATGAGATTTTAGTACAATAGTATTTTACAGTTATTATTTTTTTAAACACTAAGATTTGATCTGAAAAGATCTGTCTTTGTACATGGTGAATTTTTGAATGTAAATTACTTGCTATCGATTTTTGTAATTTTGTTTTTAATATAACAAATTATATTTTAATTTCACTATATGAAGCAGACTATATTTTTCTGTCATTATTTAGATACGAAGTATAAATATTTACATTATTAGATGAAAATACCATACTTAAATTTATAGTAATATACAAAATAAAGATGTGTTTTTATTTTATTATCTAAATATTGTATACTCAATTATTTAATATGTAGGCGTCATAATTTTTTAAAGATTTGTTCAAACTAGTAAAAAAAGCTTGTTTTTCCACTTAAACAAAACGTTTTGATAATGCTATATTTTTATTATGGTATTCATCTTGAAAATATATATTATTACAATAAATTTTTATCAATTAGATGTTCACTACCTTTCAATAATAATTAATATCATAGTTAATTTTAATAAAAAATAATATTTTGTATTTTAATATATTATTATGTAACTAATATATTAAAAAATATCATTTTATTATGAATTTGAATAATTTTTTTTTATCCAACCAGTTTTCCATCATATTTTATTAATACCTAGTTAATTTTGAATAATACATTTTAAGTAGGTATTAATATACCTATATTATTATATATAAATATATAACTAATAAATAACAATTTCTTCGCTCGGTTAAATTTTAATAAATGTATGTGCATATTATATCTTTAGTTTTAATTTGTAATGGTTTTTGACCTTTAATAATATTTAATAAATGAAATATAGCTGTTTGAGTACAAAGAAGTTTTTAACAATCAATGTTTATTGAATTTTTGAAATTACGATGTATATAATTTATCGTTCACTATAATGAATTGGATAATAAGTACTTAAATAAATGTTGAACTTTATTCAGATTATATCAAAACTGTTTAATATATACGTATTATAGATATAAGGCAGAATGACACTGAGAAAAATCTTAAAATTCACATTCATGCGATGCATAATTGGCAAGTGTATAGATATGTGTCGTTAATAATTCATTAACTAGTATGCATGCATTATGATAACGTAATTATGTGCTAACCTAACCTTTACAAGGATCAAACTGATTCCATATTTCCGTGTATACAATATACATACGTTATAAATAAACAATATATACGAGGATAATAATATTTATAATAATGAAAATCTCACAATAAGAAAATTAACAATAAAATTAAACGATTAAATTCGAGCGTTCAAAATATATCTTAGATTAAGTTATTTTAAAATTTGGACTTATATAATATGTATACAAAAAAATGTATCATTAAATTTTCATTTATATGCATTATTTATTCATATGAGATATTATATTAACATACATTTTGTGTACAGGTTACTCGTTTTGTTTTCGAATTTTAATTTAAAAAATTAAAATAAAACAAAATTTTGAGTTTTGATATACATTTATTATGGATAAGTACTAAATAGAAAAAATTTAAAACAAAGAAAAATAGCTACTGCGATAGATATTATATTTTTACGATGATTATCGTTTGTCGGGCGTTATTAATATTATTTTTAATTGATGAATACAACAGGTGATTTAAATCAATTAATAATATACTGTAAAGTAATCATTTTGTGATATCGTATTTAGTTATCGTTGTATATACGTAAATTAATACTCCCTTTCATAAATAATAAGATAAACAAAGAAAAATATGAATTATACATTATTATTGGTTGTGCAGGATAAGATATAGATGTATTTAATATTGAATAGAAATAATTGTACAGAGTTTTTTAACTCTACAAATTGTTTAATTTTCGCGGCCCTAATAACAATAACTATATGAGCTTCTTTAATTTGGTTATTATTTGGTCACTAAATTCAAATTGAGTTGACTTAAAAAATAAATTTGAATAAATTTAAAGACTAATTGCTCATAAAATTTATATAATGTATTAGCCAATTGTAGAGGTCCTTATAAAATATCGAATTCCAGTTATAGAATTAAGACGGAAATAAATAGATGAACATGTTTATCCATGAATTAATAAATAATATAACTATTGTCTACCTTGAACTCTTTAAAAAAACACATTTTAAAGTACCTACAATTTATATCGTTATTGTTATCCACAATTATTTTTTAATTATTTAGGAAAAAATAATTGAATTAAATATAACTCAATAAAACAAATGTTAATGTCCTGTAATAAAATCTTTAATTTTATTTATTTTATAATTGTGTTACTATACCAAAAATTGTAGTAGTTACTAATATTTATAATCTTATGGCATAATACCATAAAAATTAACTAAAATGTATTTATTTCACATTGTAGGTAGGTATATTTACGGTATATCATTCCTGATATAATGTTAATTTGGAATTTTACGCTGTTGTAATATTATTTTCTTAAACTACTACTATCTGCATTATATTATCCTTTTTGGATATTATCTAATGATATAAGATAAATAAAATAAACAAATAATTTTATAATTTATTATACCTTCATTAAAGCGAATCTTTGATCATCGCTTAGATCCAAATCGGTTCTTCTAGACATATTATATGGTTTGAATTAGTCGGATTACGATGAAATTGAATGCTGTCTTACGAAACGAACGGCAACGGTTATATCAAAATATAACGCTAGAGACGGCGTATGTAATGAAAACGGAACCTTATTCACATTCACCGCAAAGTGGACTCTGTGCGAACTGCAAACCGATCGACGACGGCAGTGGCGGCAGTCGACTAAAGGAAATGTAAACGAGGGACACTTTGCCCTACCACCAATAGTAAATCTATAATATAATTTATCTGTTGTACTTTCGAGACGACCTTAACACATTAATATCAACGCCGATACAAAATTATTATATAGACATGGGTTTAACTACAATGATAATGAGTATTTGTGTGTGTATTTGCTTCCTTCTTAACACTGTAAAACAATAATAATAATTGATGACTGAAAATGACTTGTGTTCGTATGACTGGCTTGTGATAACATAAAATTAAAATAAAGTACTAAATAGTCATCAACAATTTTAAAATGTCTGTAATAGCTGCTGTGTCCGTGTTGCAATTTATCTATGATAATATAAAGTACCTAGGTACCAAGAATATTATTACAGAATTTTGTGTGAAGGGCGTATAGCAATAAGGAAAATATATTATACGTATAAAGTAGGCATATAAAATATTTGTATGTATATATATTTTATATATATATATATATGTGAACATAATATATTGTATTGTAATTATTCATTTGTCAATAGTTTTTATAATATTTAACACTATCGTGTTAATGTTATTATTGATGAAAATGCGTTCTAATATTAAAAGGTACTTATTGTTTGTTGGAAAATCGATGGATGAGAAAATTAATAACACACTGTGGTATATTAACTCGTAGATATAAAAAATATTCAACCCTAAATATAGAATTTACTAACATTAACTTTTTCTCCTATTTTTGTATGATATTATTGTATATTCAAAAAGAAAATGACACCAATGTTAATCACTATTTATATTATAGATAACTGTTATTATATTATCATAAATCACAATAATAATTAATTATTAATTAGTTATATTTTATTTTTAATGATAAGAAATGTATTTTACCGTAACATTAAGTTTAAACAATCAAATCAGTGTAGCTTAAAATTAATAAAAAAAAAATTAGAATATTCAAAACATAAAACCACAGTTGAAATGAAGATGATATTGGTTTCAATAATGAGGTTAAGTCATTTAAATCCGAAGTAGTATTACCACTAATGGGCATATATCAATTGCGCCGAAAATCACAGGTAAAAAAAGAAAAATTATGGGATAGGAAAAAGGTATACATCAATTGCGCCGATCGATATTTCAATGTTATAAATTTAATAGTGTACGTCAATAATTGCGCCGATCAATTCTTAAATATATTATTAAATAAATGCGTATAATCCTATTTCTATTGATTTCAAAACTTACAGATTAGCATTATTGTATATATTTTGGTAAATAAGGAACTTACAAATAAGTTTTGTAAGTATGGTTTTTACGTGTTGCAATCTAATAAATAGATTATCTATATCTTATATCTATATCATAGCCCATAGGTACATTTGAAAATCATTATATTTTTGTTTATTGCTGTACAAATAATTATAAAAATAATATAGTTAATATAAATTAATATTTAATTAATATAATATAATTATTATAAAAATTAAAACTAACCAAGACAGTTTGTGTCATAGTCAAATGCTCCGGCGCAATTGATGTATATCTTTTAATTATACCTTTTTGATACCGGCGCAATATATGTATACTATACAAGTAGTGTCCCAAATCCGGCGCAATTGACGAACACCGTCACTAACACTGGATACCAATTTCACCCAAGTCCCACTTCCCTAATAATTTTTTCCAACGATTATAAATTTATAATAATAATTAATATGCATTAAGTATTTTTTAATAAATCTAAAGATCAGTAAAATTGCCTATTATATTATGTACCTACTTAGTTTGTTTTGCTAGAATTGACCAAATATATTGTTCTTATTAAATTTCTATTAATGGCATAAAACATAATATTATACATATTTAATGAATATATTTTATTATTTCCTAACACAATATAGTTGATATTCAATATACTAATAATATAATACGGTTTTAAATTTTAATAGCTTATTAATTTCTTGTCACAAATTTCTAGAATATCAAATGGAAAAAAAATGTTTGGGTTGCTTTAATAACTAATAAAATAAAATTCAAAACATAACCATGATGAATAAAATTCATGTAGAATGTATATAATGCGATTACGCATAATAATAATAATGGCTCATCTTAACATTCTAATGATGCGATTATTATTGTGCGTATTGTATACATTTTGTATTGTTCAATCAAAACGTCTTCATGATTACGATAGTGTAATATGATAGGTCCATTTTGGTCAAGGTATCTATGACCAGAGTACTTAATTGTGTTTTTCTTTTGAAATGTGTAAGAACAATTACGAAAGGAATATGAGAATAGTAGAGAATGACGGTCACTGTAAGAATATAGGTACATATTTTCATTAATTATATTTATTATCGTAAATCAACAAAAGAAAGCGTAGAGAAATAGAAAATAATATACCTAAAGATTTGCAAACAAATGCTATATTGATTATTCAACTATTTATATAAATAGTATGCATTTGCACAAACTTATCCATAAAGTATAAAATAATTTTAACGTCATATCGCTTTATGTCATATACATTTTGCTCTGTATAACCATTTTAGGTGTACGGGGGTGCGGTATATACAAAATTTTATTATTCAAAATATATTACTCATAAAGTCGTTGTTACATCGCCGAAAATATCGCAGTTAACAAAGTGTTTTGAACGAATTTTGTTGGAAAAAATGTTATCAATATAACATTCTTTATTACATGTTAAGCACGTCACTTGTTACACGTGCACTCTTATTGTACGGTATATCGTTTACGTATCGTAAACGCGTTAGTTTGGGTTCCACCTTAGTCTATGCATTTAATACTCAATCTTACCTGTCCAATTTTATTTCTCATTTTGTAATTTTAGTATGAGGTTAGAAATTATACGACCTACGTTGTTGCAAAATATAGAAAAATATGCTTTTAAGTTTAAAGATATATATCATAAAAATGCATATTTATAAGAATAGTTATAAACTTATCATGAATTAAATTAAATAATTTATATATTCAAAACGTTTTAAAATCGATACTATAGATATGATACGTAGACTGCATAACAAAAACCGATTAGAAGTATAGCAAATACAAAGAAAAAGAAAAATACAATATTTATTATACCATTGCTTCTAAAGTTTTTAAAAATAAATAATTTATACACTCGTACATATAAATATTTTATTTAGTATACTCTATTTATATAAGACACGAACGGACATTAAATTAGCATGATATACATAGATACTTAGTTAGTTGTTGTTGTTTTGTTTTTTAAATGTTTTAAAACTGAAGTGTATGTGTTATATGACAGATATTTATATTTATTATTTATAATAATATTTATTTAAAAATATAAAGTAAAACTTATACTCAGATAATTTTACGGAAAAATACATTTTTTAGCGCATTATTATTTATATAACTACGCTGATATTTTACCTAAAAAATAGCAAAATATAGCTATTTTCAACAAATATTCTCGGTATTATATTCAATGTATAACATGGTATTGTAATATATTGTTAAATTATTGAATTATAAAATTGTATCACTGCTTCACTAATCTGAAGTTGATTATGATCTTAAGTAATAACAATAATACCCAACAACTATTATGTATTAATTATTTTAAGTCTTAAAAGTAAAAAATACAATTACTAACAGAAATCAACATCGAATAAATTAACTAATTGTAGTCTATAAGTCAGTATATCGTCATGCGCGCCCATTGGGGGGGGGGGCAAGACAGGGCATTTGCCCCCTCCTGTATTATTACCGAGACAAATTATTTGTTGAAATCACTTTTAAGATATGAAATAAATATAAAAATATACTCATTGTTATCGCGTATTAACATCATAGATAGATCGTATTCTGTAGTCCGTATAACCTATACGTAAAATTATTTATCGCAGATAATTTGTGGTAAATCCATAAAGATCACAATATAGGTACTACAACCTATATACCTATATTAGGTATTTTAACCTAACGCAAACAAGGATACTTTCGTTCAGGATGTCATTAATATGTTTGGAATAAAACGAAGAAATTTGCAGTTCTTATTTACTGATACCGAATAATATACTTAATTATATTATTTAATTTCTATTTTTTTAAAACTTATTAAAATTATTATTTATTTATTTATTTATTCGTATGGCAATTATTATTAATACACAATTATTATTTATATATATATATATATATATAAATATAACATGCATGTATAGTGTATACATTTATATGTGAAAAATAACATTAAATCTTTATTATCTTACATTCGAAAATTTTTTTATTTTGACCCTCCCTAAAATATTTCCTATGGGCGCCCATGTATATCGTGTATGTATCATGTTTAAATATTGTTTTAAATTGTTAAACATTTACAGGGTAACTTAGAACATTATAAAAAAATTACATTATGCCGTTTATTTTGCAAACATTAAATTATTTAATTCTTAAATGGGTTATTGTTCATTCCTTATAATATATGAATTGTACTTAACTAGTAATTATTTCAAATTAATTCAACAATTTGTAAATATTATAACAAAGACATTTTTTTTTTCATCCCATAGAAGGACTTGGGTAATTGAGTAGAACCTGGAGCATAAAAATATAATTTATATCAGATGAATACATGTTATTTTGTAATTTTGGAGTAATATAAAAACAAAAAAATTAACCGTAATATCTACCTACTCATAACAGATTTCATATTAATTTTCTTGTAACATACATAATTTGTCCGAATCACAGAAACTACAATATATATATAGTATTAGTATACACAGATGTGTTGTAATTCATCCGTTTTCTTTGTATAGTAATGATAAACAGAACTATTTTAAAATCTGACAAAATATCAATACAGTACTTATGTGTTTTTTTAAAATATATTGATGTTATCTTCGTGTATAATTTTTACTTCTTCTGTAACTCCAGTTTTTTATTATCCTATTTTGATAAATATGACTCTTAACAGATCACTCAATAT